TCATGGGCCTGGGCCTGGCTGAGTGTCCGTCACCTCCAAAGGCCCCAGTTTGGCATCTCGGGGTCTCGCCAGCCTCACACAGGTGCCAACTCACCCCTTAAACCCCCGCTTCATATTGCCCCTGGATGGCAGGGGTTGGTGCCACCCCTGTGCTTAGGGCAGGCCTCTGACCATTGTGGGGACACTGCAGACTGACAGACCCTGCCCTGCCCTACACACGAGCAGCTCAGCCAGTGCCAAGGTGGCACGGGGGATTTTGGTTTGGGTTTCTTACCACCACGGCGATGTAGCAGAGGTACCTCAGCCAGCTTCTGGTGGCACGTTTAGCCAGCCCACCATGCTGGAAAGCTACTTACTCTTGGCCAAAGTACTCCTGGAAAAGCTCCTCAATACTTGTGTCAGAAGCTGATGACTGCACAAGCATCATACAGACCCTTTAAGGCCAACAGTAGGACCAGAAATTCACAGGGAAGTTTAAAAAATTAGCAACAAAGAATTGCTCCTGCAGCCCCAGCTGCTACTGCAGCCTCCTCCAGCACAACCAGAGGAATGGGTGGTGACATAGACCCACAAACTGGTGTAACTGGGGCTTTAGGGTCCACAGGCTGCTTGGCTGAGGCCTCTTCTGCCTGCCCCAGGCAGCCAACCTCCACTGTGAGCTCCTGCAGTGGGGGCTCCCCGCTGGAGCCACCAGGTAAAGCCAAGTGCTGACCAGCAGCCATCCCTCCACCCTCCACCCAGGCAGGGCCAGCACCACCTCTGTGACCCCACCGTGGTCTGGGCAGCCCTTGGGCTCTGGGACCCAGCAGCCTCAAATGAGCTTGAGGGACATCAAAACTATCTCAGAGCAGGGTCCAGCTCCTGCAGCCTCCAGAACAAAAATCACAGAGTCACTGAGGCTGGAAGGGACCTTGAAGGTCCTCGAGTCCAACCATCCCCCAGCACTGCCAGGTCCCCACTGTCCCATGTCCCTCACCCCACATCTCCAGGGCTTGGGAACCCCTCCAGGGGTGGGGACTCCACCACTGCCCTGGGCAGCCTGTGAGGGAAGACCACAGCTTCTCACCGTGGTGTGCAGAGCCCAATTCCACCCCACAAGGGAGAGATCCCCCTGTCAGTGTGCTGCAAGAATTCGGGATTACAACAGGGGCCCAGGGGCTTGTAGCACCCATTGCTCTGAAAATCTGGACAGGTTCACTCCCTTAAGGGCCAGCACCCGTTACAGACAGTGCCAGTGTTTGGGAGGGGAATTCAGACCAAGCCCCCCGAGCCCCCCAGACCCACCTGTGAGGAGCCAGGCCACGGGCAGGCAGACGTGGTGCCAAGGACAGGGCAGCAAACATCACTTTATTACACAGCTTCTGGGCTCTGGGCTGACCACAGAAGCTGCTCAGGTGGAGGTACAGACAGGTCAGGGGTTGATGTATTAGGTCAAAGCTCCAGGGTGGTTACCAGGGAGCACACGAACACCTACAACACCCGGTGCTCTTCACTGGTTGTTTTAGATGTACAGAGGTGGGACTTTGGTGGGGAGGGGAGGAGGGAGGGGGTGCAGTGACAGACCCCCCATGTGCCTGCTACCACCCAAGTTGTGAGAGGGACCCAGGAGGTTGTGCTGCCAAGAGATGAGAGGGGGCCACGGTGTCACCAGCACACACAACAGGGATACACTGCCCTGAGCTACCACAGTCAGTCACGGGTCAAAGACTGGTCTGAGGCTGGAACTAGGACAGCTCTGGGTGGGAAGGCAAAGAAATAAACATCTGCACAACCCAGCACACGGCCCGTGGATGAACCTGCCAGCCCCTAGTTACAGAGCCCTGTGCTCTGCCCTCCTCCCAGCAGAGCCCCGCCGCTCACGGGGGCGCGGCACCACGGGGCACCCTCAGCACACCCACAGCCCACAGAGCCCACTGCCAGGCCCCACAACACACCAACTGCGGGGGGCTGGGGGCTGCCCTACTGCAAGGTGCCCGCCCTGTGGGGCTGGACGGGGGGTGGGTCACTCTGTGAGCACAGGGGAAGTGCAGATTTCGGTCGTCGTTAACGGGGAGGTGGAAGGGGCTCAGTGTGGATGTTTGCTCGTCAGCAGCTCTGCGCTTAGAAAGTTTGGGGTCACACTCTTGAAATGTATTAGTAGTGTTTATGTCATTCTCTGCAGGACAGCTCCCTGCACCCCCTCTGGCAGCCAGGTCAGACCATCTCCAAGCAGTGATATGGTCACGCCAGCGCAGAGGGCAGAGGTTACAGGAAGGACGCTTGGTGCAGCACTTACATTTTGGAATAATGACCTGAAAAACACCAAACACGCAGCCCGGGTTTCCAGTTTCTTCTCCTCCCAGCTGCAGTCACCAGCTGAGGGGCTGCCCGGCATGGGGGGTCCCCTGGCAGCTTTGTGCATGGCAGCAGAGGCGCCTCCCCCGGCTGCCCTCAGGAGGCTGCTCTGCCCGAGCCACCCCGGGGGTGGCAGAGCCCAACATGCCCCCTACAACAGACACCAAGAACAAACCCTCCTGGTGAGCGAACCAGGAGAGCTGAGAATAAGGCAAATAACTTAAGACTGATGGAGTAATTGCCAGTTTTCTGCTTGCAGTAAGTTTTACTCCACAAAGCAAAGGCAAGGCAGGTCGACCTTCCTTATTTAACCTTCCCTTACATTTAAGAGATGACCAAGATTAAAATAAAAATTAAAAAAATAAAGAACTAAGGAGGAGCTGTCTCCCTAGAGCTGTGATACAACACAAGACTACAGGAGGCTACTCCAGGATGCTGGAAGTCAGTTTAGAGAAAGGCAATGCCCCGTGGCAGGGCTGTAACAGTTGTGTGCTGTGTCACCTTCTGTGCAAGTCACGCGACTGCCTCACACGTCTCCGCTCCTCTCACGTCTGTCTGTTGGTGGCCGAGCACCTCACACCATCTTACTCCAATGCTCAAGGTAGTTTCAGTAGGAAAAAAGAATGAATTCATTTCCTGTGTCTGGTGTCTGTGCACTCCAAACAAGTGTTCCTAATGCCCAAGTGTCAGAAGGGAAACCTCAGAGGTCACTGGAGACAGAGCAGCCAGATTCCCTTCACACGCTGCTGCCAAGCCCCTCGTCCCCAAACCCTGCTCTCCAGGAAGACACAACACGTGGGAACGAGGATCCCATCTCCTTGCAGCAGTGCTGGCTCTGACTCCCCTCTACACAGACCTTCTCTGACTGGCTGGGCAGACAGCAGAAAGGGTGTGTACGTCAGGGTGACAGCTCTTCCCCGAGAGGATTTTCACACCTTGGAAAGCTAACAACGAAAATTACAAGTTAGGTAGGATAAGGTTGAACTGGCCACCAGGCCAACTCGAGCACTGCGAGTCCCTTCCAGCTCTTCAGCTCTTGCTCAGAGCCTCCTCTCCCTTAGTTTGTTCCCGTTTTGTTCATCCAGCACTGACGAGTGTCCATCACCATTGCTCAGGCATTTCTCCTTCTCGTATCTGTGCTCTTGCTTCTGCCGCCTGATCTCCTTGTACCGCAGAGTGATGTCACTGAGGAGACAAACACAGATGTGAGCTGGTGATGTGAAGGAACACCTTCAACATACAGTAAAACAATGACCCAAGTCTGTTCTTGGGATGATTTAACCCACTTGAGTCTTCTGGCTGTTAATTTCCACAGCTGCTGATGGCACCGATTCACCTGAAATTCGTGTTCCTTGCCAGCAGTCTGGCCACAGCCGCCTCTTTTGGGAGCATAACACAACAACATGCTCAACAAGAGCAACTGCTGCTGTCACACGGGGCCTCCTCCACAGGTCATGCAGCTCCACCAGCCCTGGGCAGCTGCTTTTCGTACCCTGGTACAGGCACAGAGCAGCCTCCAAACCCAACACACACAACGGGGCTCGGCCCTCGCTGGCCCTGGGGCACTCGGAGGGCTGAGACATCAGCCTGCTCCCACAGCAAAGCTGCACAACTCCCTGGTCTTGTCTAACTCGGAGCACAGGAACACCACCCTGCCACCTCCTGCCACCTTCACCCATCCAGGAGACCAGGTGCAGTCAGGCACCGAATGTTCACCAGCTTCTACAGCAACACTAACACAAGTGGCCCCACAAAGACCAGAGCTACCAGAGGTGTGATCCAGAAAGAACAGCCAGGATCACGTGCAGGGAACTGCCCGTGAGCTCAGTGGCTACAGGAAAGCCCTGCAGCTGCAGCCATCCCCAAGAGCTGTGGTCTGTCTTCAGGAGGCACTGGAGGCTCGTGACAGTGCGCATTTGAAGACGTGCTGTTGGAGGGACATCCAGAACAACCCCCCTGAGGCCCAGGCTAGACCCCAGTGCAGCACACGGGGCTCTGCTCACCGAATGAAGAAGCGCCAGGCTGTCCAGGTGAGCACCAGGATAATCCCCAGGATCCAGCACTGGGTGATGTAGAAAGGGAGGGAGAGCGTGAGCGTGTAGGGGTCGTACTTCACCACGATCAGGAACTCCGTGGCAGTGATGGCAGCAACCAGCCACGCCTGCTGACCCAGCTTCTTATGGAACTTCCTGCAAAAGAAACACACATGTCAAACAAAGCTGCTGCTGTGAAATAAAGCGTTCAGAGAAACAGTCATAAAAAGACAGCTGGGGTGGTAATTCCCTTCAGCTTTGCTCAGTTCTAAAGAGCCTAGTTTGGATGACATGTATACGAGCACTATGCAGGCTGACAGCTTTCATGTTGGCATCACTTTCCTCTCAGAGGCTCTGAGAACACAGGAGAAGTTAATCTTCATCCTCATACGATATAAGGAAACAACCCCATTTTCAGGGTATTGGTAAATTCACATAAAGCAATTATCTGACCAGCCTGAGCTCAGCTGAGGTTCAGGGTATGCTATGGAACAGGAGCTCTGCTCTGAGGCCTCCTCTGCAAACATGAGGTCACACCACCATAACCATCCTTAACCCCTATAGTACTGCATTCTGAAACTTAACTCTCTTCCCCAAAAGGTATTCATGAGCGTTCACTAATGATCTCTGAACAGATTTAAGAGAAGAAACCTTAATAACAGACAGGCAGGATACTGAAAGACACAAGGATGGCATTTCACTTCTGGGACAACACAACCTCAGGGAAATCCATGATTAATATTTAATCCCCAAGGTTTGTTCTGAGGCAGCACCAGAGTGAGAAGCTGCAGTGCTATCTACAAGTCTAGTGAAGGACTCATCAATCAGCAATGCTGGAAATTAAACTGCAGTAGAATCAAGACATCTACTCAGGGGCTCTACTTGCAGAGGGAGAGACTGCAAAATAAACCATCTTTTGGGTGACCTGCTCCTGTGTGGGAAATACCTAAACCCAAAATACCTCTCAGCTGCCTTTCGGGAATCCTCAGTCCCTCGAGGTAACAGCCTATGGCTGGGAACCCAGGCAAGTTATTGATGTACACCAGTTAAACCCTCCTCTTCTGGACCTGGTCTGCTCACATCACTTCTGGACTTGACAGGTTTACAGCTCGCTGACAGACCACACAATTTCAGGTCAGTAACCCAGTGGGGCTCTCTTTGGGCAGCACAACATGCCCTTCCTTTATGCCTTGGACTACACTGAGATCCTGCCCACTGCAGCACTGCTGGTGTGTGCAGATGTGTGTGCAGATGTGTGTGCAGATGTGCCACCCAGCAGCAGAGTCAACCACATCACTTCCCGCTCAGCAGACTAAGTTTTTGTTCTTCCACCACCCATCTTCTGAATCTAAAATGGGATTTTATTCCCATTAGAGGAAAGAAGCAAGAGAAAGCTACCAGAAGTTGTGTGCATTCTTGTGTCCCCCCTGGCAAAGGCATGATTTAATTAAATGTTTCCTGAAATCCAACCAGTCTGAACCAAGGAGGATTGCTTTTGAGAGAAGCAATACCCTCAACCACCACACTCTCCAACTGTTCCACCAGCAGCCACACACTTTTACTGGGCTGTATCTTTTACTTAAGAATCTCACAAAGAAAGGCTGTAGTGAACTTCCCTGCTAGTCCCAGACCTGCTGCCCTATCTGAGGGCTATGTCTCTGAAGATGCCCCAGACAAACCATGCAAACAGAAGGACCACCAACTAAACTCAAGGGTAGCTGTTCTTTTTGCCTTCTATTATTCCTTGTTCTGCCTTTGTCCTACACTTCTCTGCTTTAACCACAGGGAGTACCTGCCCTGCACAGGGTCTTGCTCTCTCACTGAACCACAGAAGGTGCATTCTCCTGCCAGGCCCTTTCTCTTTTGTTCAGCTGTGTTACTCCATTCCTACCACACTGTAAAATGTGAAGTGAAAACCACCCAGGGAGAATTCAGCACGAAGTGGCCAAACTGCTGTGGCAGGACAGAGGAGACAGGGAGCCAAGTGCTCTGCCAGAGCCACGGAGGGCTGGGGAGAGGGCTGGACATGGCAGGGCACCTCTGCAGCGCTGCCAGAGCCTCGGCTCCTCCGGCCTGGGCTGCTGTGATGTGCAGCCCCCTGCCTGGCTGAGGCCTGGCCAACACTGTGACATCCAGCAGCCCTTGGGGCCACGGTTCCTTGCTGGTTTTGGCATGCAGCAGAGCAGAGAGAAGCCTCCCAGCAGCTCCCCAGCTCGGATCCCGCGGGGAGCGGCCGCACTGCCGAGCGCTCCCCCCTGCAGGCACCACAGCCCAGCTGCCCCCAGCAGCCCCAGCCCCCCGGCAGCACTGGGGCATGGGGAGCTGCCCCTGCATGCCTGTGCCCACCCTCCCTGCCCCCTTCCCATGGGATGCCAGCAGCTGTGCTGGGGAGAGCGCCCTGCCCTCCTCAGGGCTCAGACAGACCTGCTGCCCCTCGGACTCTCACCAGCTGGGAAGGGATCCAGGCATGGAGAGCAAAGAGCTGCTCTTCCCTCTCCTGAATCCAGGGGAAGTGTTGCAAGTCAAGCACACAAAACACAGTTTCTTAAACATCAGGCCTGACAGTCATCTGTGACATCAATGCCTAGGTTCAAGCTACTCAAAATCGTCCAAATACACTGGAAAAAAAAATCTGATGCAGTAAACCAAGTGTAGGTGATTGCTGCTGCAGATGGGGTGAGTGCATTCCATTTTAAAAAGATCCTGCCTAGATCAACTCTGACAAAAGGACTTCACAGAGACTGCTCCAGGTTGTTCCTCTGGGAGGACAGATCAAATGGGCAGAAACCAGCCCTAAGACAGAGGAACTGACACAGCAGAGCTCTGCTGCAAACTCAGGCTGCCGGCTCAGCTTCTGCTCTGCTCAGCTGCTTCCCCATTTCCCACTGTCTTCCCTCCCTAGCTGACAACAGCACACTGACAGAGGGATTAAAGGTAACCCCAACAGAAGAGCTGTGCAGAACAAAAGTTGGTTTCCTGCTTTCTGTTAAGGAAAGATTTTAAAGAAAAGTAATTTTTTTTAAATTTGATGAATGAAACTAAAATTCACAGGCTCAATGCAGACTCCTCAGAAGAGGCTTAAAGACTAGAAATCTGAAAGATATGATAAGGTCAAAGCTACAGCCTCTTACATCAAAGCATTTCTGGTCAGGAACACTTTGAATGGCCAGTCCTCCAGGGCTCAGAGGCAGCGTGTTGAGAACAGCTTCCAGAAATACTCCTCTTTTTGAATTATTTCAATTCTAGATGCTTTATTGTCCCCATGCTCAGACCAAGTCCCTGAAAGCAAAGCCCTAGAACTGTCTGCAGATACTAAGAATCCTAAATGAGAAAAAGAGAGTAATCTGTTAGAACTTCATTATCTTCTATACTAAATATTGCAAGGCTAGCTGGCAAGATCTAACCAGTTCATCTTGGACAATCCTATCACTACCAGAGGAGACAACAAGCCATCCTGCTGACAAGAAAGGTCAATGGAATATTTCAACACCTGTCCATTACAAAGCAGAGCAAGTTTCCAAAAGGAAGAAGTCAGGAAAGTGTTTTGTGTGCTGGGAGCTCCTGGTACAGCCTGCTCCCCCCCAGCAGCTTCTCCCTAAAACACAACAGGAAGAATCCACAACAGTTCCTTGGTTCCAAACGATGTGCAAGTGAAAATACACCCAGTCGAGTTCAGCTAATGGGGGTAGATTATCTCTGCCTGGATGACCTGAAATGCCCAAAGGAATCAATGTCCAGTTGCAAAAGCCTTCACAGAGAAGATAACTAGGCAAGACCAGAGGCCAGGTTCTGCCACTCTGCACAAACAGCCTGAGACAAGCAGAGCCATGAACCTCAGAAGAGAGAGGGCTGGTCACCTTACCCACCAAGAGAGACAGAACAGCAGGTGGAGGTGGCAATGATGAAGACATGCAGTTCAGGATGAGAGTCTCTGCTTGCTGAATGACCTTCTCCAGCTCACTGAAAGAATGGCAACAAACTGAACCTGCAATGAGGCACTGGTGACTGATGAGTCTCCTAAACTCCAATGTTATGCCACGTGGTTGAACGGTGAGCAAAGGAGTTTTTCCAACCCAAACACAAGGACCAGAAGATTGTGAATGGTGCTAAGGAGAGGAGCTCAGCAGTGAGAGGCAGAGACCTCTTCTTACCTTTGAGTTGGAGGCACGTCCCACACCAGTAGGTCCGACACCAAGGGCAGGGGCAGCCTGCCACTGCTGAATGTCCTGAAATCCAGCTAAGCAATGTGGGTTGCCCCTTCTTCCCAGCTCTAGGAGTCAAAGCCTTGCAAGGGAAACTGATCTTCAGAGAAGGTTGGAACCCTAAATTCTGAACACAGACACTTTTTGTGTTGGTCAGTGACAGACAATGAACATCCCTTGAAGCCAGATGTCTTAGGCTCAAGATGTGTGCTCAGGCAATTAGTGAAATCACTGCTAAAACTTAAAAGAAAATGTGATTTTGAGAACAAAGCTTTCTCAGGCCTTACATGGTCTGCAGAAACAAAAGCAGCAAGGACAAATATGATGCTTAAGTAGGAACAGTGTACATGAAAGTACATGCATTGATGTGTGTGGTGCACTTTGCCTTCACCACCCTCTGCCATAAAGGGTCCTCTGATCTGAAAGAGGTGCCACGAGAGCTCCAGAGGAGCAGGGACCAGCTGGAAGATGGCTCAAGAAAAGAAGCGCCTTTAAGAAACACTTTTTTTTTCTTTTTTTTTGGTAGTTTGGGCCCTGTTGTCCTTAGAAGGTACATCTAAGGACTGTAGTTCCTGGTCTCAGTCTGAAAGTGGAGTTCAGCACTCCTCTGCCCACAAGCCAGTGGTGCTCCAGCTCATTTACATGTTACATCCTCCAAAGAGCAATCATTGATTACAATCAGTGCACACAGGACGCCCTTATCAACGCTCTTCTCTAACCAGATGCAGTCAGAATTCTCCCTCAAAACAAACCAAACACAAAGCAGATGCTTGGGGCTTAGGCCTGAGAAGCTGGGGCAGGCTGGAACCGAAGCAGGTGGAGGGACAGGGGCTGGGGCTTACGGGTCGTCCATGAAGTCGTAGATCTCCCTCATAGCCACACCTCCCACATTGACAAAAAAGACAAGTCGCAACAGGACCAAGTAGTGTTCTGGTGGCATCCAAAGGACAAACTTCAAGTAAAATGTGTTCAGCTCTGCCAATAAAAACTGAGAAAAAGGACATTTTAATTACATTCAGAAGACGTCACTGCCTGAAGCCTGGCCTCTCCCTCTCTCCCTGCACTTCTCCTCCCGCCACCTCTCAAACGTCCCGAGGTCCTGCTCAGTACTGCTGAGCACCAGCACCAGTTACAACAGTGACCCAGAGCACCTGGGGTGTCAAAGAGTTTCTGTGTTGGAAGAGGTATTGAAAAAAACCCCAAAACTGCAACAGAAACCTGGGCAAGCACTGCCTCTGATTTCAAACCAGCTTATTGGGAGTCTGAAGTACCTGCAGAACTACGGGTAACAAATCCTAAGGGCAGCAACTTGACCTTTCATTATCCTTTAAAATCTGACTGAGGGAACCCCAAAACAATAAGAGGCATAAGCAGCACATCTGACAGTTTTTGCCTTTTTTTCTGTTTATACAGTGACACAAACATCACTGCCAAAGCCAGCTCTGGAGAACTGGTTATACACTTAGAGCAGAATGTTCTCCAGTGAGCTGCCTTGGCTCTGTGACTAAGTGAGCAAGTAGACACAAGTTTCTCACTTCAAAAGCAACAATGACAAACAGCATTAAGCTCTATTTAATCCAAAAGAGTTAGCCAAAACCTGAAGCTGCTTAAAAACTGTCAGCTGAAGCTAGGCTTTGCTAAAAGAGACAGGATTATCCCAAGGACTAGCATCAACTCAATGGAATCTCTCAGCTGCCAAACCTGCTCCAGCACCTACCACCCAACTTCTTCAGGGTGCAAAGCTGGGACTGTGCACACAGGAACCCTTTGGAGAAACCTGTGTTTTTTCATATTCCCTGTCTTTCAAGATGATGCAACCTGTGACACAGAAACTGGTTAATGCCCATTGTCTCTGGAATCACTGCAAGCCTCACAAGGATTATTTTAGTTAAACTTCACAGTTGCTGAACTGAAATAAGTTTGGAGTTACTCATAACAGAGCCAAGTGACATCCCATGGATAGTACAAAGGCCAAAGTCCCCCAGCTGACAAGAGGCAGGAGGGGGTAGAAAGCACTCAAACTGCCAAGTGTATCCTCCCTATCAGTGCCATGGGCATGATACCTGTGACTGTGGGATGACAGTCTTCAGTCCAAGGTGATGAACCCCCTAATACAGGTGCAGCCTCTCACATGGCCAATGAAGGCAGACTCTCCTGCTGTGGCTGCTGGGGAAGACAGCTTCTCCAGGCTCTACATGGGGGACCCACTTTACCTCAACTAGTCAGGCCACATGTTCAGTGAAACAGGAAAAATACAAATTCTGGGATACTTAGTCCTGTGAGAAGCATGGAGTTGGACCCAATAACCCTGACAGGTCCCTTCCAACTCAAGATCATCTGTGATTCTGTGAACTTAATTATTTCACTCTGTATAAAAATATTAACCTAGGCAAAACTGCTCTTCAGGAGCTGTGCTGCTCAGCACTAACACACAGAAGCCCGAGGCTTTGGGTACAGCCCTCTCCAGCTGCAATGTGATATGGACCTGCTTAAGACCAGAGAAACAAGCCACCTGCATCCAAAGTCAATGTTTTGGTACCTGCTGAATTATGTGTAGCTCACAGTTTACACTGCTCACATTGCCAATCAGCATTGCTCAGGAAGCAAGAACAAATGTTTATGCAAAGACTCTAAAGTGTGCCAGGGCCACAGACACCTTTCCTGCAGGGCTTGGAAGTGACTGCTGCTGGCCTCAGCTAAAGAAACACCACATCTCAGTTTCAGTCCAAGTCACCCTCTGTACAGTTGCTCGAGTGTTGCAAAACATTAAATCAAGTGGTAGAGAAGAGAGAAGACAGAGAAGTTTCCTCACCACGAAGATGATGCCACAGACCGCCAGCCACCGGCGCAAGCTGGACGCTGGCTTCCACTCAAACTTCACCCAGCTGTAGGGGGTGAACTGGAAGACAATTCTCTTCATTTTACCTCTGAAAAAAATCAGAACACATTCTTGCAGGTTTAAGGAACAGCACACGAGACACCAGCTCACACGTCCCTTTGAGACACCAGCTCACACATGCAGAATGCCTCCACTGACTCCACAAAATGCTGCTCCACCAGATTAACATCCTGGGTCAGAGCAGCCCTTATTTGGGCTGTCACTGTACACTGCCCCACACTGCCCCCACTGCACTGGTGACACCCTCAGCCCTGCCTTGCTCAGCAGAGACATGACAGACAAGGAGAGTTCATTACTGGTGCAAGACTACATGGGGTTTATTAAATATTGAGTTCCCATGTCCTGATTACTGTGAAGTTCTGCTTCCTGGGGAATGCACTGTTTGCACAAGGACCAAACAGATCTTGCTGTGAGTGACAGAGCATGATCCTGACTTGGATTCTTGCACCTCCTTTGACAATTTGATTAAATGACCCTATTTCCACAAGATGCCCTCAGCCCTAGTCATCAGGCAATGCTCAGGACAGACACACAGATTTTCAACAGTTTCATTCCAAGCCCAACAAAGCTGTCACACACCAGCTTCCACACAGTAACAATTTAAAGTATCTACCTTTCTAGATGCTCATCTAAACACAGATGAATTCTTTAATCCACATTAACCCTGACAGAACAGCCCTTCAACAAGAAGATATTTCACATGGGCCCAAACTTTGCACTGTGCTAGTGGAGTTACTTCCCACACAACTTACTTGTAGGTAGGAATGTTCCAAAGTCCTTGCCACTTGTACGTTTTCAAAGAAAGCCAAGACAGAGTCTTCATCCCACAGTAAATTCCTAATCCATTACACAAGATCACATCCATTATCCACTGAAAGGAGAAAAACAGTGACACTGGAGCAGCAGCACTAAGACTTGTGAAAGGGAAGATGCCACAGGTACACACACACTGAGACACTCCCAGTCACAACACTCCCCAGAGCAGAGTGGGGCAGGAAAAAGAATCTCAGCTGCCCAAGTGTACTCAAATGAAGGAGAGGCATTCTACAGATGATGGCTGTTGAGTCTTTTTTGCTGAGTTCATTCTGCTACACCCTGACCAAGGGGTTCCTCCCCATGCTCTGTCATACAGCCAAATGTCAGTTCTGGAGCTGAATGAACCTGCCTGTCCTGTGCCTGCAGAGTGCCTGAGCACTGGCTGCTAATCTCATATGAAGGGATTTTTTGAAAGCAAAATAGCTTTGCTTGATGTCTTTATACATAATGCATTTACTTCCAGAAAAACCACCATACAGCAGATCATTACAGGCTTAGGAAAGAGCTTGTACTGCAAGAACAAAACCATGCCAGAATACCCTCAGAAGCACAGCCCTGTGTCCTCAGTGCCAGTGGTTTTGAGCACTGGTCACCCATTTACATTCCATTGGAAAATAAAAAATAAAAGAAGTGTGTCACTTTAAGCTATAGAGCTTGTTTGCTCCACAGCAAAACCAGAGCACAGCAGTCCCTCTGGCTTGAAAAGCTCCACACAGGCAGTAAGCTTTGCAATAAAGCTTTGCAATAATGCCAAACTTTATCTTTGAAAACATTTCAATAAACCACACTGGAAATTCTAAACACAGTAACATTTAGTGCTTTCAGAAAACAGTGAAGAGAGGTTTGCACAGCAGGAAGAGCTGGACACCAGCTGCACTGAGTCTGGGTTTGGTTGTCTCTGACAGGCAAGGGAAAAAAAACACCATCTGAAACTTTATATACAAAGTTTTACCCTTCTCTTAATTTCAGATTTTAAGGTTTGTGCCATCAATGACTATTTGAAAATGTTCAGGTACAGCTTTAGATTCTTCCTCTGGTATGAAATAAACCCAACCAAATATTTAACCACATGCAATAGTCTGAAAACCCACAAAGTGACACGAACAGCAACAAACATCCTACAGACTCAGCAGGGAGAGGCTCCTGAGCTGCAGCAGCCAGACGTACAGCTCTGGCCACGGGCACGTGGTGCAGTTCAGTCCTCACCACCTCCCACCCCTCCCTTTACAACACCTCCTGCCTCCCAAGCAGCCCACGGCCTGTGGGGTACGTACGTGATCCCACCAACACTCGCTGAAGTTTGGAAGCTGGTGCTCCAGGCTGTATTCCAGAAATTCAAACATTACACTGATGATCATACACATCCACCAGTCTCGAATCATCAGCGTCTACACAGACAGAGAGAAAAAAAATCTGAGATAAGAGCTACGTTTGCACAACACAGTAAAAACTGTCACCAAAACACCAACTGGCAGAGCAGGCCGAGGAGAACCAGACACCACTGAGGAGAACCACTTACACTACTGCCCTTCAGAGACCTAAACAAAGGAGAACTCCATAAACACTGCAGAGACACTGCTCAGATTTCTGTTTGCAACAGCGTATGGAAAAATGATTTTTTTCCCCCTAATTTCAACAGTGATAAAAGGAATATGAGATTACCCCTTCTGGACTCTGTACACAGAGGACACACATGGTTTGCTTTGTTTACTGGTTATTCCTACAGCTGAATATCTTGTCTCCACCAGCTAGAAAACAATCAGGAAACTCAGAACAATCTTATTTTTATGACATGACAGTCTAGTAGAGGCAAAATCTCACAGGCCTCTAAACTTATCAAATATGCAGCACAGACTAGACACTGGAGAGTATAGATGACAACACTGATACCACTACATGAACAAATTAAGGCAAGATGGGATTCAGAAGGAAATAAGTTAGATGAATGGAATTACTGAGTGCTCAACCACCACAGCAGCATTGTTCTAATGGGGCTCAAAAAGGCTTTTCAGAACCTGCTCAATGCAGCCTTTTAAAAGGTCACCTGCACTAAATCTCAGCCCTGAGTGCATGGGACACCCAAGTCTACTTTACACCAGCCAGCAGCTTGTCAGGCTGAGCAAAAGAGCAGCATCTTCCTCCCCATCCAGCCCAGGATCCAGCTGAGCTGCAGCCCTAGAACATACATATCACCTCAGCCTGTTGTCACAACAAGGGAAGAGATCTGGGGTTACACCTTATTTCATGTTTGTAAGAAGAGCACTGAGAGCCCCTGCATCTGATCTGCTGCATCCTCAGCAGGGTGCCTAGATGGAAGGTGGCAACCCCAGATGTCCTGGCACTGACTCTGCAAAAGTAAATGTAGTTTTGGACTGACTGCCTCAAGCAGAAGAGGCACAAATATGCAACACACATTAACACATATTAGTCTGACAACATGTGATCCAAATGACTCCACAGCAAATGAGGAGGCCCACAGGGGTTTCTGATGAAGGAGGTACCTTCATCCCCAGTGTCACCATTCTGGTGCTCTCAGATACAGCTTAAGAGCCTGTTACTCACATCAGACCAAAACCAAAGGACAAGTCCAAACACATGCTCATCTGTTCATGAAGGCAACACACTCAACTTCCAGCTTTCTATAGAAAAACACACTAACTGACAAGGAAGAACTGCAGCAGCCAGTTTCCCTCAAGCTCAGCAGCACAAACACCTCACAGAGCCTGCCAGGCTCCCCAGATCAGTCTGCAGCTGACAGGATGACAGATCACCTCCAGCATTTCTGCAGGAACAGTCTCTTTATTACAAACAGCTTCTTCCAGACCAAGACAGACAACAGCTTGACTGAGCAGAGGGGAGGCTGAATTCCCCCCGTTGTGGTTCCCCAGGATGTGTCACTGCTCCCCTTACATCTCACTGCTGAGCCATTTGTTCTTCAGCATGGCAGGATTTGTAGAAATAAACACAGAATGTAGCTGAAATGTTATTTTGATATTTAAGTTTCTAATGTAATTCTCTTACATGAAGAGCCACCAAGTTCCTCCAAATTCACAGTTCTGCACACCAACAGAACAAGGCACTGACCAGCTGATCTGAAGTGAGTCTCCCCATGCCCAGCATCTCCTGGTTATGGGGGAAAAACCCAGACAGAAATAAACACTCCTAGGAACACATCTATGCTGTTGAAATTGAAAAGAACCACAACAGTTGTAGCTTCTTTTTAAATGGGCCTGAACTTTTTCAGGTTATTATTTACAGTGGTCTTGTAGGTTAAAAAAAAAAACAAACAAGGTGTGCAGGGCAAAATGAAGTCAGCTAGTAAGTTTGCTTCAGGTTACAGAAAAAGCTCAGATTTAGACCAAAGCCATCAGCAAAATGTGTTGACTGTGTTCTGCCAGAGACAAGTGTAACTGGAATTCCTTCCACAGTTGGTTGATATTGACTTAAAAGCAAGAATTAAACCAGGACCCATTTAATGATGTAAACCCCTGGTGTGTATGCTGCTGGGAGGAGCCTGCCTTAGAGCAGCAGCATTGTCTCACACCCCAGTCTGGGTAGGAGCAGATTTCCACTGCCCTCTCTGAGCACTTTCTTCTCCACATCCAAAGGTCATTCCAGCATTTGTCTTGCTACAGGAGTTAAGGGCTTTACTTTTATTGATCTGGCCTCAGAATGAAGCGTGCTGGAGGAGGGCTCTTGTCAACGTAACCTTACTTTGGAAAGAAATGAGGTGACCTAGTGTGGTCAGGGAAAAAAAAAACCCCAAGCCTTTCATGTATTACAAGCACTTGGACTAGCTCACAGATGACTGCCTAATATAATTGGTCTGGAAGAGTGGCATTGCTGAAACAGAAGCAGTCAAGCTTTAAAAGCAGAATAGCACTAACAGGAACAGAACAGAAGACCCCATCTTACCTTCAGGTACCAGCCAAAAAAGTGAGCAGGAACAAATCCATCCAGTTTGTCCTATAAACCAAGAAGAGAGTGTAGGCCACTTTGCACTACAAACAAAGACACATTCTGACCTCCCCACCCCCAAGAAAAATGCAGCAATAAACTTCAGGTTGCTCACAAACAAAGACTAAATGCATTTTATGAGTTTCTGTGCACTGAAGTACAGTGAACAAACAAGCTGTCTGCAAAGCCCAGCCACCAATTTTAAGAGGCAGAAACTGGAATGAGGATTGTATTGACAAAGCAGAGATCACCTTTGTAATGCTAAATGCCACGTTCCTTGCCTTCCAAGGGGACAGAAGCAGAACATCTTCCAGCCAGAGCAAGAACATGAGCTTCTTCAACAGACCCCATCTTGTACCTAGCAGAGCTTCTTAAATCTTACCAGTCCTGCCACCATAAAATCCTAGGCAGAGAGGGTCTTTCCTCCTCCTCTTGGTGCCAGACAGGACAGCTGTGCTTGCTCTCTGTTACTCCAGGTCCCAATGCACTGAAGACTGACATGGCAGACTCAAGGATTCAGTGCTCACTAGACAAGCACTAACAGCTCCCTGCAATCAGGGACTTGTAAGCAACCAGAATTCCTTTGCCCTTCAATTTCAACTCTTCTGTTTGCCAGCAAGCAACAATAACCTGATGGTTTCTGTTGCTGGGCAACACGTGACTTTTGAACTTTGTGCCTCAAATTGACTGTGAGTAGAAGATTCTCTAAGCACACAAACCCAAACTCCTAAGGGAAAGGGTTTACATCAGTAATCTGAGAAGCAAGGACTGTCAAACAGTTCACCCTCTCTCCTGGGCACTGTCATGAGGATACAGAGACACATCTGCACCTGCTGGAGAGGAAAGGTGGAGAGAAGGGAGAGAAGGAGGCTCAGTCAGCCATGACCTGCACAGAAAGACCCAGGACTGCACTCTGAAGAGTCCAACTAATCAACCTTTTACCAAAACAGTCAGACTCGTTAGCAAGTAACTTTGTTTCTTACCCAGATGTTGTGAAATGGATCAGTTTCATTGCCAGGATCATAAATAAGGCAGTTGCCACCGTAGTCTCTTTCTGGCAAAGGGACCCCTAAGTGTGGGTCGATGTACTTCATGAACTGCCTGCCATCCTGCACAGTCTGCAAGGGGAACACAGCCCACATTTCCCTCTGGGTAAGTACTCATGCACAGAACAGTCCAGGGACAGTTAACATCAACACTGTGTATACAGAGCACCAAACCTTACTAAGAATTGGGCAAGAAGGACCTAACTGAAGAGTGAGGACTGCAGCTGGAGTGTCAGTGTGAAGAGTGGTGCCTGGCAGGCCAGGGCAGTTACCTCTCCTGGCTCAGTATCTCCACACTGGTGTTTGGTTTCAAACCATGCTGCTGCCTGAGGAGATGACTGCAAGAACTGGACTGGGTAACTGAGGAAAGGAAGAGTCTCCTTCAAAATCTCGAGCCCCTTCCTGGCCCTCAGACCTGATTTGCAGTGGTGTGAGCACACGGCCAGGAACACAACAGCCCTGCTAGGAGCATCACACTTACAGCTCTTGCTTATCTCAAAATGTTGTCCTTCAGCTGCTGCATTTCTGAGAAGTCACAGAACTGTAAAAGCCACGGGACAGCTCTCAGTTTACTAAAGGACAAGAATATGGCAAAAAAAAAAGTGCTTAATTTGGATGACCAATCTAGAAAAAAAAATCATCTCAGCTTGCTGCCACTACACAATGTTGTGGGTGAAGTTTGTTCATTGAAAAAAAGAAACAAAACCAAACACCAAAACACCAACATTCAAAGAATCTATCATCCAAGGTGAAAAGTACTTCAAAAGATTACACAAGACAAATTCATGTCACAGTCTGTAGGATCTAAGAAACTATCAGCTGGTACAGAACTTCAGCAAGTCACATCCAGTCCAGCAGAGCAGAGACTAAACCTGAGGAGCACCAACTCCTGCTGGTTTCACCTACACATGAGCTGACTTCCTACCAACCCAGTAAAGAACACTTCACTGCAGTGCCTAACCTAGGCTGGGACTAACGACAGGTTGGATAAAATATTCCTTACTATTATAGTCTTCTCTCAACCTAGAAGTCTCAGTAAAGAGCACAATGTTTTGTTTTGACAAAAATCCAGAAGGGACTAACTACAGGTTGGATAAAATATTCTTTACTATTATACTGAGACTTCTAGGTTGAGAGAAGACTAAAGAGCACAATGTTTTGTTTTGACAAAAATCCAGAATATTTCCTGCAGTCAGTGAGAATCCTAAAGAACACCACAGAGGAATTTATATCCACATTAAACTGGCATTTGCTAACTAGAGCTCTAGGTCACTTACCTGAAAGAGTATGAAGATGAGGAAGAGCTCATACACAACGCTGACACACAGCCAGAACCTCCAGTAAGCTGCAGAAATGGACGAGTGGGACGTTAGGAAGCGTTCAAACCAAAAGTAGTCAATTATTCATTCACTGGGATCTAACTAAACATTTCAAGCACAGACATTCCCACCAAGAAGTCACAGAGCCCAGCATCCAAGTGACGTGTTCACCACCCTCCCTCAAGAGTGCAGCCCAAACACTCTAACTGCTGGCCAGGCTGCTCTGCAGATCCAGCAGGCAAGGACCCTCATCTGTGAGCACAGCCCAGGAGAACACTCCAACCCAAAGAATTAAGTGTTTAAGAATCAGAAGCAATGATAAGTGCCACTCACACTGCTTTCTAGCAGTGCATGGAAGAGAACTACATCCTTCCTGAGCTCATCTAATTTCTTTCTCCAGTCTTATGTAGCCTGACCTGTCCAACTCTGCTTTTCCCAGCCCCACCACAGCTTCTGCCCATGTGCTGTTAAAGCAGACAGGAAAAAGACCAGCACAAGGAACTGCTGCTTTTACTTTCCTAAGCCCTTCTTTTTCCCTGAAGACAAGGTTGTTTCCTCAAGGGGCAGAAAGCATTTCAAAATACCAAAGGTATTTTCACTTTTACTAGGAATTAAATAAAAACCAATGTACCAAAGGTCTAGCAGGTGCTAGATATAAGGCTTATGAAATTATCTGAAACTCTTCATAACAAGAGCAACATCATGAGACATGCTGCTGTTTGAGAGCCTGCAGCCCTCTGTCACCCTCCTGAGATGTGATTACAGCTCTTCTCACACTGAAGCAACACCTGAATCTGAAGGGCATGCAAATTCAACAACGTGTGCACTTCCAGCTCCACCATCATCACCTCAGCTCTTCTGGAAGACTCATTCCTCGTGGCACAGGCCCTCTGTCTGTCCTGCACACCAGCCCTGTAGTCCCCAGGCTGCTTCCGAGCCCCAGTTCACCCTACTCCACCCTGTAAAGTAATTTCTGGGCTCTGAAATCTCAGCCAGTGTCTGTTAACCCCTGTACAGGAGGACGTGGGTCAGCAGGGAGCCAGCACAGGCACAGACCTGCCCTGGCAGCTCTTCCACACCGTGTCCAAACACTCCCAGGAGGGACTTCAGGGCAACTCAGCTCCTTGCCAGTGGCTATTTAAATCTCTCAGTAGCTCACAGGCTGATCCCTCTGGCAGGACTTTAACAGCCTCTCCTCCAGCTGGCTCCTGCTCACACCTGCAAAGCAGAACTCTCCTTCCACAGCTCCAGCTAGGCAATGGGTAAAACTGGACGGGGGCTCCTCCAAAGAGGAACCCAGCCAGTCGTTCATGGGGTTGAGTGGGTTCCACCTGCATGGACACGGTTTGCCATGAAGTTAAAGAAATTTCAGGCCTGACTTGGGCACCTCCTGTTATTAACTCCAAGGCAACTCAGGGACGTTGATCCTTAAAGGCAGGACCCATGACATCAATAATGCAAGAACAAAAACTCCAGGCTTGCAAACATGCTTGTTGATCAGCTCAGAAGCAAAAATCAACCACCTATGGTGCTGCAGAGCTTCCTAGAGGCTTGTCTGCCCCTGAAACAAGTGTTGCCTTTGCCCAATTCAGCCTCAGATAGCAAAATAAAAAAAGTTTTCACATACTTAAAAGTCTCTGGCAGCCTGCTTCTAACACCATCATTAAAATAGACTATGATGTGAGAAGGTCTGACTTTTTTTCAGGAAAACTGTAAAATTAATTTCTTCAGATGGCCTACTTTACACTTCCACTGGGAAAAAAAAAAAAAAAAGGAAAAAAAGACAAGTGTGGCCTGGATAACAGGAAGTTCAGAGCTCTGTAACAGCTTTCACTGGAGATTCTGAACTTCTAAGATTTTTACCTACAAACATTATTGTGATTTCCTAATTATGCAATACAATGAAAGCATCTTTCAGGGGTCAGTCATTAGAAAACTCAAACAAACCTCTAAACACACGTGGTGAGGTGGCTTTGCCCCTTGGTCACCTTGAGGGAGGGAAAAGCAGAGCTCAGCCTAACTGCTCCTTGGAGAGGCAAGAACTGGAGCCTCTGAGCAGTTGAAGAAACCATTAGTTGAGATTTCTGTCCTGCCCTCAGGTTTGATAACTCTCAAATCCACGTGCAAATTTCACTTAGAAGGGCTGGACAAGTATGTGTGTGCACCCTCCTGTCTCTCTAGAATGCAGCCTGGGAAAAGCAAACAAGCAAAAAGCCCTCCATTGGTCGATGGATTATTTGGGAGGGAAGAACCCCTCCCCAGCCTGGCACCATTGCAATGCTGAAATCCTCTTCAGCCTGCTGGATGCCAGCCTGCACGACAGCAACACAGTGGTGACTTTTATTTCAGTGATGACAAAAATCAGTTTGTGTTTGACAAGGTGTTTTCTATCCTTTCCTATAATGCCTGCATACCTTGACGAGTAAACATCACGTTCAAGACAGGAGTAAGAACAAACCCTTCATTAACACACTCCTCCCACAAGGACAGAGCATTGTTTCCATCACATGCCACCTTCAGACTAGGAGCCTTGAAAATGCTGGTTTCTGACCTAGGAACCTTTGCATGACAGATTTCACTCTACTCACAGACAGGAGCGTGGCAGAGGAGTCCTGCACCTGATGAACATACATTTCCAAAGGCAGAAAACTAAACCCTTCTCTGAGCTCTTCTCCCCTGTGAACACCTCAGTGCTGAGCTGCAGCTGCTGAACTGGCTCAGCAATATTTCATGATGAAAAAGCAGACAGTTATAATTTTGTGTGCTTTCTGCCTGCCTGCCTGCAGTACCCAAGAGGTTCTGAGAGCTATCTACCCCTGCACGAGTGCAGCAGAAACAAGATGTTTTCAATGCTGTACAGACACCGTGTTCTCTCTCTCTTCCTGGACTGGCCTTAGCTATGAAATTATTTTTGGCATGCCTTTGATATTTGTTTTCCTTAAATGCACTTGTCACCATGAACCTCCCTCAAATTAGGGCTACCTTCCTGATTAAGTAGGCTCCAACTAATCATTTACATACCTGATAGCTCAGTGACTGCCACGCTCAAACACTAAACTGTTGCCATTGTCAGGAGGCTTGAGATGAACAGTGAACAAGAGAGGGAGGCTGCACACCCAGCCCCTCAACCCTATTTACCAGCAGAGGTTCCAGCTGGACCTGTGCCATCTGAAAGGAAAGCAGGCTCTTATTGAGGGGGGGGACTGAAAGCAAACCTTGTTGCTTCAGCAAAATTTGTTTGCATTAGCAGAACCAGTGGTGAGCTGGCACATGTGAGCTGTGTATAAATAAGTCGAGTGGATAAGCACCCAGGAAGAAGAGCTATTTAAATAGAACAACAACATTAGGCACAAAACCAGGCAAAAATACAAAACACCTCTGAGCTGGTCACAAACAGGGACAGATATACTGAACAACAGAGCTCCAACGTCCACCTGACAGAAGCAGGACATGAAGGCAGCTACTTTTCAGACAGAGCCTGACAATCCCCCAGAGCAAAGCTGCCGTGGCCATACGTGACCCTGCTGACCTGGCTGACCCAGGGCTTCCTGCTGCCCTATAAATGGAAGCTGCACACACCAGTGCTGCCAGTTCCTTTGAGATGAGATCTTCCTCCTGGAACAGCACCTCCAAGTGAAGGTCAGGGACTCGGTGCCTGGTGGGAACTCCACAATACACCCCCTGTAACTGGAGAGCAGTCACTGACTCTCAGGGGACTGTAATGCCACCGTGCCTTTGCTGCCTGCAAGAGCCCTCAGCAGGACAGGTACAAAGGCTGCTGCCACTGTGGGGGCATCTGCCATCCCAGCAAACTGCTACAGCCCCTGCAAACCACTCTTCAAAAGATCATCCCATCAAACAGGGGAAGTAGAGATAAAAAATGTGACTACACTTGGTATCTGAAGTGACCTGATGCACAGGAGCTTCTTCAGTCACCCTCTTCATGGAGGATTTGATTCTGCTGAAAGACACTCAGCTTCAGTGCAGGACCTGCTGTTGCCCAGACAGAACCACGCAGAGGTGGTAGACACTGGCTCACTCTGCACTAGAAGTCTCCTGTAGGGATCTCTGGCCTTTGATTTTCCCCATCCAACCTGTACTACTTTTTTCTAGGCAATACAAATTACTTTGATCCCACACAAAACAACCTGAGGTTCTAAAACTGAAAGCACCCAAAACTCACTGGTGTCCTTAAAAAGAGCCATTTGTCTTATAGGAGGAACCAGAATTAACTTAACAGAAATGAAAGACTAAAAACTGCTGTTTACTGAATAAAGACCTCAGAAATGCAAACATCTGAACAAAACCTTCCCCTGCAGGGGCGTGCTGTGGGCACTGCTCTGGAACAACGTCTGCTCTGAGCGAGGCTTTTAGTGTGTTTGCTGTTTCTCATCTAGACCAGCATTCTGAAACTGGAAGGGTAAATTTTTGACACAAAAAAATACTTGTTTGGCTGCAGGAGAGCCTGCAGGAATATTGTGTAGGCCTATATAAATTCCCTTAATTATTTCTTAATGATTCACATCTAAAAATAGGCAAAAGATCAAAGATACTAAAATGTTTTCATACTTCACCTGATGCTACACTCCACGGAAGAGGTTTTGCCTTGTGCTTTCAAATGCTTTCAAAATGTACAGTCTTACTAGAAATCTTTAAAATCATAATTAAGGGCTTCTACTGCACCCATTACTGTGGATAATGGACATACAGCAAAGGGAGTGCAGGGCTCCAGCAACCAGACACATGGTCAGAAGTGCAGCCCCGTTACAGAAAGGAGGAAAACATAAAATCAAAGGAATAAACAAGAAAAGTCAAGGTTTCAAGAATCTAGCAGTTCACACACATCTTTTTACTAACAACAGGAAGGCAACAGTGAGATCCAGAGAAAAAAAAGGTAATAGAAAATCCTATGCTCCATGCAGGCTGAAAGGCCAGAAGGATCAGTGCTGCTGGGTGGCAGCTGGGAGGTGACATGCTAAGTGTGCAGTGTTAATGGCCTGTGTGATTACTGGAGTCATGACTTACCTCCTCCACCAGGAACACAAATATTTCCATTCACCATCAACCATGCAAGTTACCACAAAAGTTTGAGTGACTTAAGCAAGTTATATTACCTGGATGGGGTCTTGAAAATGGTCCATCTTTAGCTTGTGTAACTCCAAAACACAGGAAAACCAAAATACTGGCGACAATACCTCTGGAAGTGAAGACCAGAACACACTGTTTACACCACTTCATCTTCCCCAGGAAATAACAGACTACAGTCTTCAATGTAAAAAATGTCTGCCCTTTGTTTCTTAATTTCAATCATATATAGATGCCTTTTGCTAACTTTTTTTGTAAAAAGTTTTCAGCTGAACTCAAATAATGAGAATATTCTGTGTTTGGAGCCACTAGCGTGTATTTGGGAATACCAGGACCACACATCTCTGTGTACCCTGCACTCTGCATCCTGCAGCAATCCACACCTCTTTGTTTGGTATCACTACACTCAGCCAGGAGCCAACATGTCCCAGATCATCATTCAGGTCTTGTGAGGGCAATTTTCCCCAAGCTGGAGATGACCCCAATCTAAAGCACCACAGGATCTTACACTTATGCTCCTTCTCAAGTCCCCTGCCAGGCAAAGAGCAGCTGCACTGAGATGAGCTGGAGTCCCAGCTCCATTATTCACTTTGGGTTCACCAGGGGAAGTTTTGAAGACAATCACCAATTTGCATATGAACTATGTGAACTATGCCACTTCCATTACCTTTTTTTTTCCCCTGGGGTAACTACCTTTCTCCCCTTCACATCACTGTGCTGCCTCCTTAGGAAGGTTCCCAAGCCTGACCAGCAGGGCTGGAGGGGGCTTCTTCAAACCCCCTGCAGGCAGCTCGGGCAGACAAGGTTCATGTATTTTCTTGAGCAACAGATCAGGAAGACACTAAACAGTAAAACTTGCCTACGAAAGTACTTTTAGCACTTAAGCAAATAAGAAAGGGAGAACATGCAACTGTTTCATTAGCACAAACAAGCTCTTGTTTGTGTTGTCTGAAGTGGAGGCAGAGACAGAAGACAATGAAGCTTGTCTGTGAGGACCTGTGTGCCCTCCTTTGTGCTGGGCTTTCAGCAGGGCAGCTCCCACACCCTGTCCCCTCCCTGGCTGTAGCTACAGCAGCATGAATGGAACAATCCCCTTCCTGGTAGCAAGCTGAAGAACCAGCAGACAGAGGCCAAGCCTCCTTGTCACCTTGTTTTCTCTGTGGGTGTTTGGGGACGAGCTGGAGCCACAGTACACCCAGATTTGTTACCAGGGCTGAGCAGTGATCAACTGTTGTCAAAAACAGGCACAGAAAGACAGCTTGGAAGAGAGACAGTTTCACAGGTTGAAATTCAATGTACAACTCTGATACACACAGGATTTTTTAAGCCTGAATGTTTTTTACATGGAAAAGCTCTTAAATGTTTTTCCACCCCCAGAACCCCTGCTCAGGATGAGAAGTCTTTGTGAGATGTGGATTTCTTCCAGCACCATCATATGCAAAGGAGGTCTCCAAGTACTCATCCCCAGGGCTGGGGCTCAGTCCTGCCAGCTCTCCTGGGTGCTTAACTCAGAGGAGAAGCTGATGGTTGTCAGGATGGGCTGTCTCCAGGTGGGTAAAGAGCCTTACTGAGCACACAGGCTTGGCCCCACGACACAGCCTTGGCTGACAAAGTGAATTTTCAACTGCCTTTACGACAGAGGCACTCTGATCACATCTGTCACACGTCTGTCTGCATGATCCTAATGAACTTTCACTAGATTCACATATAAAAAATTCCTACAAATCTTATCATTTAAAAAAATTCCTCCTTTAATTGCCCTAGCACATTGCAGGAAGGAAGATGGCACTCAAATGTCAGCGTGTAAACAGCAGCAAATATAAAACTCAGCCACAGATACACCCCATGACCCCAGAGGCTCACGCTCTAGCTTGGGTTTTGTCCATCATTTCTCCTGAGGACTTCCTGCATGAACCCAGCCTCTCACCCTGCCCTCAGCCCCTTCTGTAAGTGACTGGATGAAGCACTTTCAAGGGGGGAAGGCAGGAGCCCCAGATGCCTTCCTCTGCTTTAGCTAGTCCAGGAGAGAGCAACAGCAGTTAGCACAGCAGTCTGTGCACTCTGCTTCCACGGAAGGCTCTGCTCTAAGCTCCTGATGCAGTTTGCAGTCAGCCTGGCACCTCTCAGCAAGAGCCTGAACACAAAGGAGCCTGAAGTGTTTGCAGGCATCTATTTAGACTTTGCACCTAAGCACCAGAACACTGCTCCACTGTCCTTGTGCAGGAGTTGGAAATAAAAAAGGATGACAGCCAGAGACAGTGCTGGCTGCTCATAAACCACTGCTGCTCATTAAGCCAGCAAGTGTGCCTGTGACACACTCACACACAGGGACAGCCTCACGCATAGCAGGGCTCTACACAACACACAACAGCTCCACAGTAAGACAGATCTCAGGGCAGGATAAGGAACTTTAAGGTATGGAAGCAAAGTGAAAGTCTGTGAAACCTGGGGATATGGATATACTGCTGCACGTTGTGACCTTCTTAACCCCTGCTCTGAACTGCCTCTGTTCAGATACACACTTAAAAAGCCACATTCAATTGGTCAGCAATAAGGAGAGCAGCAGGCACACGGATGCTGAAGAAAGCAGAACAGCTGGGACATGAATTGAGCTGGAATCCTTCTTGCTTAACTGTGCTGAACTTGCCACTGAACTCACCTCAAAGACCTCAGAAAAGAGACTTCACTTAGACCAGAGAGGAGACCAGCACACGGGCACCTCCAGCCACGCCCTGAGCCCGGGCTGAGGCACTGGGGGGAGCTGAGGGAGGGCCCACGGGTCCCACCCCCTGCACCTGCACTGGCCTTTGGGCTGGATCCAGTAACAGCTCGGCCAAGTTAACCAGGAGCTCGGGTTCCACACGGAGCCTGAAGGAGCAGGGCCACAGCATGAGGGGAAACAGCCACACCCTTCACACCCAAACCAAACCCCAGCAATGGGAGACATAAACAATTCTCAGGATGCTGCTTTTCATGTATTTTTGCATCTAGATATTGCAGGCAGTGTTCCCAAGCAGAGATGTAGCAGGGATGAAGGCACTCTGGCAGGCTGCTGTTCCATCCACAGCAGCTGGGCACACCAGTCCCTGTGCTGAGTGTGCAGGAGCAACTTCTAGTTCCTGAAGAGTGGCTAATCTGCTGATTAATCCCCTCTGCTTTGTTTTTATGAAAGCAGCAAAGGCTGTAATCTCAATAATAAGATATTCCACTGAGTCACCTCAGATCTGTATTACTCCCTAACGATGTGTCATCACTTCTCTTTCAGCCTTTCTCCTCCTCCATCTGAAATGGCCACTCTGGAGGTCAGGCCCAGCCGTTCCCCAGACTCACTGGAACTGGGAATAACCTGGCATCTGTTCACCCCAAAGCCTTGCAGAAACTCTCCCAGGGCACCGAGTTCCAACCTGTTCCATTTCACCCCCACACATGAGAACACAACCCTCAGCTCAGCGTGTGAGTGTGACACGAGCTACAGCTACTGTGTGACTGAGAGGAGCAACCAAGATTATCTCAGGAAATGCCCCAATTCCTGCATCTCCATGACAATGGATACTACATCCTGACTGACTTTAAAAAAATGTAAAAAAATAGGAAGAAACTCTTCCATAGCAAGGGGAAAAAACCTGTAATGTATTTGAGAAGCCAGAGTGGTGGAAAACAGAATGATTTCCAGGATGCTTTGCAGTCTGTAAGCACCCCCCTTAATTCTTACAATACACTTGGACTTTTAACAGACTACTTCTCTTCCCCCTTTTTATTCCCTACTGTATTTCTCTAAAAAGAGGAGAAATTCAACTGCATTTAATCAGTTTAAACTATGTCAGGAATGGACCACAAACATAAAACTCATTTCCCAAGGTTCCCCTTTGGGCTCCAAGTTCTCACGTTAATTTTAAACAACAAATAACCATCTGCATCAAAATCTTGAAAATAATTTTATGAAAAGCACTTAAGTCAGAAAGATGTAGTTACAGCTCACATAATTTAGAAAGACAGGTGATTTTAAGAAGCAGAATCATCACCAAAGAAACAGCCAGTGCTTTGAGGCTTTAGCAAGTGTTTCATAGTTAAGTCCCACAGACGCCCAGCAGCTGCTGGGTATGACACTGAGTGACACTAAACTGATTAGAAATTAAATTCAGCGACCAGGCTCAGAGCAGCTTACAGACTCACACTCACTTCTGCCACTTTCTGAGGGTTTGAGCAGTTAAACAAGTTGCTGCAAAGGTCACCTGAGTTAATGCATACCCAGAAGGGAAAAGCCTGCATGGTGACTGGCCCACCCCACCACCCCTCTCCCACACCCCCCAGACACCCCTCCTCCCACATCTACCTCTTTGTGTTGTAGGCTGTATCTTGGGGGGTCTCCTCCAGCAAGGTGACGTAGCCCAGGGCACACGTGAGGATGAACAAGACTGTTAAGGTATGAGCTCTCCTAAAATTCAGAAGAGAGAAAATTGACATCAGAAAGCAGAAAAAACTTACATCTTCTCCAGCCAGGGAAGCCTCAGCAGGTGTCATGCACAGGCAGTGGGCAGTAAGACCAGAGAGCTTCTGTGTGCAGCACAGAAAGCAGAACCCTCCCTGGCACTCAGTTATCAGCCCGAGTGCAAGAGCAGCAGAGGCCTACGAGCAGAACAGCTCTGGCTCATTTTCTGCCCTGTGCTTTGAGCCAAGGAAAATTTGGACAAGCACTTGCCAAGTAAACAACAGCAACTTGAAAAGAATTAGCACCATCTGGGCTAACACTTAGATCTGAAAACCTCCAGATTTCTCTCAGGGCTCATCAGGTATACACTGGATGCTGCTGCTGCACAGCTCGATTTCACAGAATCACAGAACCATTCAGGGTGGAAAAGACCTCCAAGATCATCAACCCAACACGACCGTGACCATTAAATCACATCCCCAAGTGCCACATCTACACATTTTTTTAATACCCACAGAGCTGGCGACTCCAGCACTTCCCTGGGCAGCCTGGGCCAAGGCCTCACCACCCTGTCAGGAGAGAAATCTTCCTAAGATCCAGTCAAAACCTCCCCTGGGACAACTTCAGCCCAGTGCCTCTCATCCATCACTGCTTACTTGGGAGAAGTAACCAGCCTATTTCAAAGCCTGTGAGTTAAAACTGCAAATGGATCAGACTCCTAAGACTAAACAGAAGGGAATTCACTCTGGATACGAGAATTAGACATTACAAGAAAATACAGTCATTAAAAAACCAACCAAACAACTGAATTCTGAAGGAGACCAGATGCAATTTCAAGAACTCTGACACTCTCTCCAGCTGCCTCGTTTCCATCAGCTCTCCCAGTTTCACCCCCCAGCTCTGCCGGGCAGGTCCAGAGGGATGGCAGGAGGCCTGTGCCCCTGGGACTGGCTGCAGCCCTCCCTGCCCCGGGGGTTTCTGCAGCACAGCAGTGTCAGCAGAGCCCCAGGAACACTGGGTGGTGGCTGCTGGACAGGCTACCACGTGTGTGACCTTACTGGTGTGACACTGGTACAGGCAGAACACCAGCAGAGCACGAGGAGGTTCCCAGCCCCCCGCCCACGGCAGCCTGTCTGCTCATACTGGGTTTGGTAAAAACTTGTGTGAGAGGAGAAAAAACAGTGAAATGCATCTGGCCCAGGCTGGGGGTTGAGCTGAGAACTCCCTGCAGCTGGTTTTGGCACAGGCACACCTAGGACTATGGCACAGGGAATATTCTCACACTACAGCATCTGTGGGTTTGGGTTTTAACTTTTAAGCTGAAAACTCCTTCCCTGCTGAGAAGCCTTTTCTTGTTTTCAGTGAAAAACTCCTCTGAGCTCAGCCTGGCCATTCAAGATCAGACCATACAGAGACAAGTTCTGCTCCAAAGGAACACTCAACATCTCTTAACACAAATGATTAAAATAGCACAGGTACAAAACACCAGGTTTAGAGAACAGAAAACCCACGAGTGAAAACGACTGTGTGTGACAAGGACTGGCACACAGCTGGCTGTTTGCACATCTCCCTTTCATGCTGTAACAGAAGCCAGCGTTACACTCCCATTTTATGCCAAAAAAACAAAGTTCAAGTTGCACAGTGCATGATCAGCTGGAGAACACCAAAGATTTCCAGGAAATCCAGAGTTACCTGTCACCATCAAGCCCAGTAATCCACCTAAAATTGCTCTGGAAGTGAGGTAAGTGTTATCTGGAATGACAATCCCATCCTAACCCAAGACCCAGCCACCTCTCACCACATCCTTTTAATCCCCCTGGAAAAGACAGGCAATACCTCATAAGCAGAGGCAATCCTCTTGTGGCACTGCACACTGTCCTTCCTCCCCAGGGCACAGCCGGGCAGCTCCAGGGACAGCCTCACGCCCTCTGCTTCCAGCCCACTCCTGGTGCCACAGCCATCGACTGCAGATTCCACAAGCTCCCCAGGTAATGAGAAGCAAGAGGCTCTACACCTCCTCACCTCCCTCCTAGCTCAGTTTGCATTTCCAACTGATCCAGATTATCTTCAGCAAGTGTTCCCAGCCATTAGCCATGTAAATGCATCTCCAGCCCAGCACGCAATCCAGAAGCCAGGGTGAGAGATCTTCCAGATTGATTTGTCTTCTGGGAGTTGGCAGCTCCAACCAGAAAACTGCAAGTAGTGACAAAGTGATGGCAGCTGCTAGAGGTAGCAGAGTATCACACAAACCTACCCACCAGAGGAGAAAACAACAAAACCCAAGCAAATATAGATACAGTATCTTCCCAAAGCTTGAGAGTCAAAAAAAATAATTTTAAAAATCCAGAGTCATGTGGAACAAGACCAAAAGTGAAACATTCACAGCAGCCAGAAAAATGAACAGCGTACAGAAGTACTTGTAGAGTGAAGTCAGGATGAGTTAAACTGCACAAAGAGGGATTTGGACTCCAGATACCCTCTAAAATAACACAGCAAGAGGACGACAGCCCAGCTAAGAACATGCCAGCAAGGTAAGCAGCACGGGAATTACCCAGGAAGGCTTAAGTGCTCCTTGCCTGGAGCCTGGGGAGCCTGGAAAGAGCCAAGCTCAGCAGAGTGGGGATATTCTTCCCCCTGGAACCACGCAGGAGTTTGGGTGACACACCAGAGGCAGAAGGGGTACAGACTACAGCCAGTTCTAGTAGCTGTTGTGCCAAAAAAATCCTGAGAATATAATACCTGAAAGTATGTGTGCACAGAAATATGTAAGACCAGGAAGGTCAAAGAGAATTCACAGCAAATCCCAAATTACTAAAAAGCTGGGACATGAAGTAACTTATTTACCTGCACTACCATTTCCCTGATTTCCTGTGTCTTACATCCAGCTCTTTCCCCAGGTAGACACTGGAGTGTTTAAGTGAAAGAATTTGAGTTTTGGTGCCCTGCTAACATGGTGAGACACCACGGGAGGGCAATTTGGGCTCCCAGAGGCAGCCCCAGGCCCAGCACCTCTCAGCCACCCAGCCTGCAGGGCAGCTCAGGATCTTCCCATAGGAGGGATCCAGTTCACACCTACCTAACTCCCCTCCTCCTGTCACATTTGTGGACTGCAGGTTTCCAAATAAATTACTATCAGAGCTTTTGTTTTCCAAATCAAGTACATGACAAAACCGACCCGAGGCAATTCTGTAAGTACCTAGTTTTGGGGTGAGGCAGAGGGGAGCTGGTGCCCTCCTTCCACCTCCTGCAGAGCAGAGCTCAGCCCAGGCACAGGGCCCACGCCCTCATCACCCACCCTCCTGCCTCACCCTCCCTGCTTGTTCTGAGTGATGTAACAACTACCTCAAAAACAAAAGCAACCACCAGTGACACCATGCAAAGGATTTAATTATTAATCTTTCTGTCAGTTCCCCACATAAAATGAATTCCAAAGAACAGCCAGTACTCTGCCTCTTTGGTTTAAAAACCTGCATTAATAGCTGCTTGCTAGAGAAAGAATCTGCTGACAAAACTGACTTGTTCTGTCTTAATCTATCACCAACTTTTCCACAAAGAAATATTTTCTCCTTTATTCTAAATAATGATAAAGTCATAAAAAAAATTTCTGAAAGAGATGTGAGAATGCCCAAGCTCTACCCTGCATGTACCAACACATCATCTGACACACACTGGGAACTCTGATATGACAAATGGACAGCACAACAAGTCTAGTTCTTCAACAGCAGAGGAGTGCTTAAGGTACTATGGAAATAAGATACAGGAAAATACAGCAAAAACTAACAACAATTTCAAACTGACCAATATTTTGACATTGAAAATAAAAATTGTCATTAACAGGGAAACACTCCTGTTTGGATACAGAGAGAGGTTTCTGAAACCCTCAACAAAAATTCAGCCTTGGTCAGAGCCTTGATAACACACCCAAAATCAAAGGATGAAACGGGGAGTTCCAGGCTGCAGGGGCCACGCGAGCAGCCAGGCCTGGGCTCTTCCAGGACCAGAGGCCAGCTGCCCGTTTGTGCAGAGACTGCTCTGCCCAAAGCACACCAGAATCACCAGTGCCCCCAGCCTGGGGGTGCTCTGAGCTGCCCCAGAGCTCCAGCAGCCGCAGCAGGAACGGGCCCCAAAAATTCCAGCACCCGCAGCAGGAACGGGCCCTTGGTCTGGAGCTGCAGCCTGTGCCTCAGCCCCTTCACACTTGGGGAGATAATAAAGCAGCACCTATTCTTAGAGCAGGAGCAAGTCCTGGGCACGTCTGGAAAGGTACACACACTGATTAAATTTCTGTACATACTTGTGACACTCCAAAATAGTAACTTTCCTTTTCCTTGCCATAAGCTGGTGCCTCTCAAAACGCTCCCCCGGGAAGGGGACAGCAGCAGAACCCTCCAGAGAGAGAGCAGAGCCAGGGGTTGAAAAGCAAAGATCCAGCAAACTGGTCATGTTCCTCTGGACGACAAGAGCCAAAGTTTCCAATCATCAGCTCCACAGAGTTCACGTTAATCACAGATCCCAAAATGATCCATTTTAACTATTAAACACTTTGATGAATTTTAAGACTCCTGGAACATCTGTGTCAGGGTTTAGCTCAGAACAGTTCCACGGGTGCTGCTAACACACACTTTGAGCAGGTCTTTCTAAGACATGGGCCTTACAAGGAGGGCAGGACGGTGCCCCTGTGCCAGGTGGAAGTGCACAAAAGCAGGGAGCAGATTTTTTCTGGCTGATGATTTTTCTGAAGGGCTGTAGAGTTCAAGTCACGGGACAGAGCTCTGAAGAGCCCAGGCTCTGCTGCTGGGGTGCAAGGAGCTGTCTGCCCCTGCACACAGCCCCTCTGGCACCCAGTGCCAGCCCCTCTGACACCCCAGTGCCAGCCCATCCCCATCGCCCAGCCCCTGCCCCGGGGCGGAACTGTGCCAGCCCCAGCGCCCAGCGACTGCCCCGGGGTGGAACTGCCCCCACACCACGGGCACGCCGAGCTGCTGCCCCACCAGAGCCAGAGGAGT